GTCTGATCTATGCGTTTCGCTTTGTCCTGATAGTATAGTTTATTTTCAGTTGGGCGTAATTGTATTTCTTTTATTTCTTTCTTTGTGGATTTTATTGTATAGCAAGTGGAATGATGTTCTTGCTTTATGTCGTAGGTTGGCTAGTCCTACTTATTGCAGAGTTGGATAAGTTCTCTGAGGTTTTACTTGGTTATTATTATACTTCTTGCCGTCTTTCAGGCTCAGTATCTATGCTATGCTGTTGTGGGCATCAACAGTCTTTAGTTATGGGTTTTTCTTTATAGGATTGTTTGTTATTTATGTGTCGAAGGAATTTATTTGTATAGAAGGATTATTATATTGCACGATTAAATTTTAAACTTCAAAAAGTCAGTTTATTAAATGTTTGAGTTGTTAACATTTCTTGATTATTACATGAAGGTATTTATATTATTTAATAATAATATATGTTTTATATTATTGTTAAGTATTGTTTTTGCGCATGTTAGGCGTCAAGAGTTACTATTGTTCATTAATTTACGAGTTTGAGTGCCATCGTAATAAGTTATTTGGTTTATGGTCTCTAATGGTAAGTTAGCTTTTAGCTTTTGTTAAAGGATTATTGCCATGTTGAGCGTAAGGCGCTAATGGCCTAGGTTTTTCCTTAAAACTATAAGGTTATAAGGGTAATTGTTTGAGCTATTCTAAAATCGAAAATCGCTAGGGTTTATCTAGCAATTGCTAAAGGGTGAGCGTGTCTTAACACGTCTCTGGTGTTTTTTGAGTATGTTAAGGCATCTTAACACGTCTAAAGATAAAAGGTGAAAAGCTGTTGCTTTTATACATTCAAGAAGGCTATTCTGCTGAAAGTATGTTATCATTTTTTCTATTTTTATCATTGGGCTATTTATAAGTTGCAAATATTATGACTATAACTATGATAAATATGATGCTATAAGATACTATAATACTATGAGTTCTAATTGCTAATTTTGGTAACTACCATTCTGATATAAGATTGCCGATTTTGGTAAATCGCTATTCGTATGGGTGTGACGATCATTATGTGTAACGGGCGTGATCGGACGGGTAGCCGGTCGTGTTTCCCTGTACACCGGAGCGGTGGTCGGGCCTATCGGTTTGATTGACGATATCCCGATTATTGAAAAACAGACAAAACTTATTCGAATTCTACTGGATGATTTTGTCTCAAAATTATAGGAACAACCATAACTTTTTTTTTGTAGTTTAATTTCAATATATTGTGCTAAATTTAATGGTATCTTTCGATCTTTCTATATTCTATTTAATTATTTTTTATTTTCAAATGTTTATTATGCTTTTATTGTAAAATTTTTATATTTGGATTGCTTGATTTTATAGAGACCATATCATTATGTGTAAGAACAAGATAAGTTAATGTGGTGTTCTTGTGAAGTGCATCCTCTAATGCTTTTCCTCCTTCTGTTCCAAGATCATTACCATGAAGATACAACTTTTTCAGTGTGGTATTCTTGCAAAGCGCAACTGCTAATGCCTTTCCTCCTTCCGTCCTAAGATTATTACTATCAAGATGCAATTCTTTCATCGCGGTGTTCTTGCAAAGTGCATCTGCTAACGCCTTTCCTCCCTCTGTTCCAAGATGATTACTATTAAGATATAATTCTTTCAGCGTAGTATTCTCGCAAAGTGCATCTGCTAGTGCTTTTCCTCCTTCTTTTCCAAGATTATTACTATTAAGATGCAATTCTTTCAGTGTGGTGTTCTTGCAAAGTGCATTTGCTAATGCTATTCCTCCTTCTGATCCAAGTTTATTCTCACCAAGATCCAAAAAAGTTAATGTAATGTTATTGTAAAGTGCATTTGCTAATGCTATTCCTCCGCCTGATTCAAGATTATTATTAAGAAGAATCAGAGAAGTCAACGTGGTGTTCTTGCAGAGTGCATTTGCTAATGCTTTTCCTCCATCTAATCCAAGATTATTATTATCAAGATTTAATGAAGTTAACGTAGTATTCTTGCAAAGTACATCTGCTAATGCTTTTCCCCCATCTGATCCAAGTTTACTATATCGAAGATTCAAATATTTCAGTGTATTGTTTTTGCAAAGTGAATTTGCTAATGATTTTCCACCATCTGATCCAAGTTTATTATTTTTAAGATCCAAAGAAGTCAGTATGGTATTCTTATCAAGTACCTTAATTAATTCTTTTATATTTTTGGATTTAAGTCCCTTGTTGGAAAGGTCCCAGCTTGAAGCAAGTTTTTGATCTTCTTCATTATGCAAACTGTTCTTGAGAATTTCTTGATAATGTTTTAATGCTTTGATATATTCGTGTTGATTAAAACACTTAAGCGCTTGCTTTCTCTTATCCTTAAGTATGTTGTCATCCTGCATTGGAAGACTTTTATTTATCGCATTAGGTTCAGATGAATTTGAACGCGCATTTATATCTTGATTTAGATACATTTCATCATTAATTAATGCATCATTAATTTTAGGCTGATTTAAATCTTCGTCAACGAGTTGTTTCGACATAAAATCATTAGATTTAATGGAAAAAGATAGTACCGATGACATTATTTCAAATGAATTTGAATGTACATCTATATCTTGATTTAGACACATTGCATCATTTTTAATTAATGCATCATTAATTTTAGCCTGATTTAAATATTCATCGAGTC